TTGCGCAATAGAATTTCCATTGTTTAAACTTTTATTCAGTAAACTATTCCCATTCATTGAAATCCACAGCTGAGGATTTCAGAAGAAACATAGCCGACTATTCCAGTGTTGATAGTTTGGATGGAGTCTGCATGTCTTCCACAGCACTGGATAAAGATTTAGATACTATTAGTGTTTCATCGGACTTTGATAATATCCGTGCCTCTTCACCCAAGCCACAAAAACTGGAAATGAGAATAGGAATAAACCATTTCAATAGGTAAGAAAATAGACGTAGTCTTAGGCTGATTTTACACAGGGCGATTCGAAGCAACAATATTTTGCAATGCCGTTGCTCATCACATGATGGCAGCCATGACAGGAGGCAGGGACAATATTGCCCTATTTCACTATGACGTCACTGCTTGTTTATGTGGGGGATAGAATTGCCAAATCCAATAGAAAATTCAACAAAATTTGCTCCTAGCGATACAGTTTAATCTAAAATGGCCTGGTTTTTCATAATATGTGTTAATATGTACTAAAAAATATTCTGAGCGTTTGCTGGCTATTCTACATTTCTCTTCGTGGATTGATACAGGTTTTAGAACAATTTTCTGTAAATTTGCATTGATTTGACCCCTTCCGACGACCATGATCCTTTGCGTTTAAATAGTAGATCATTTTAAAATGACGTCATAGTGAAATAGGGCAATTAAATCTGGTCTTATCTGATTTTCATGAGAAAGAATTCAGTTTCCCAGGGGAAAAGACTCTGTTGTTCCTGCCTCCTATGGCTGCGTGATGGTGCAAAACCTCTATAGACAAAAAGTATTGAAAATTCCAACAGATCTCTGAGGGAGGGGGGTTATTTACTGGTATCCATCACCCACCTGGAAAATCAATAAAATCAGGTTCCCTATGTATTTTGAACCATTCTTTAGACATTGTCCCAAACTAGTAAATGCGTAAAGAGATAACAAATAAATTTTTGTATTTTATCATATATCATGCCTATAAAATCTCATTTTTTTTCTTCACCAAGGAAACCAGAGAAAGGAATTGACTATCTCATAGAGCATCAAGTGTTGGATGAAAACCCAGAGACAGTAGCAAGGTTTCTGATATCAGAGCATGGAATCAGCAAGCAACGACTTGGCGAATACTTGGGCAATTTACAAAATGAGTTTAATATGTCAGTTCTAAAGTGAGTACTAGTCATTAATGTAGTTTCTTATTAGGTCAAACAAAAAAAAGTGTGTTTTCTGTTGCATGAGAAAAATAGTTGGAGTTTTTTTACTGATACAACAGTGGAAATGAGCTTACTGGGAACCCTGTAGTGCATTTGGGAATGAAAAAAATATTAGGGTCGGCAAAAATCAGCAAGAAAATTAGGGTCGGTCGTGGAACAGGAAACACACTTATTTGTTTGTTTGGCCTTACCACTACTATTCAATTTTGTGAATATTCCAATAAAGGTAGAGATATCTAAATGACATAACATTATGTTTTCCCATTCCAGGCCATGTGTCATTCCCTAGAGTATTATTTCTTTGTTTAATGATTGTGCATGAGAAGATACATGAATATGGATACAACTCAAACAAAGAATATTATTCTCTAGAGAATGACACATGGTCTGAAATGGGAAAACATTGCACCCGAGGTCTTTTTAATTTTAAAGAGTGGATTTTTTTAATGTTTTTTGTTCTCTCATAATAAAGATGTTTTACTGAGAGCCTGGATTTCACTGGAATGGAAATAGATGTTGCATTGAGACTTTACTTGTCACATTTTAGGCTTCCTGTAAGTATAACCTATTCATCCATCCATCCATCCATCCCATACAGTCATTAAGTTATAAATGTGTTGTCTAAAAATTAGTTTTAATCCATCTTTTTCAGGGTGAAGCACAGAAAATTGAAAGACTTATGGAAGTATGTAAATATATTCCTCTTTTTCAAGTCATAAATTTCATTTGTATTCCCTTGCTCACCAGCACATCTAAAATTGCTATTCTGCAATATATTTGCTGATTTAGCAATATTTTGTAAAGTGTACTTTAGTAGCAACACAGGTCTCAGTTGGTTTAACACAGAGATGTTTCATGCTAGCCACCTCATCGGGCAAAACAAAAGAATATAAATTCTCCATGGGGAATTGTAATCTCTTGTCAAACAAAACCCTTTATCTGCCCTGAGACCCTTAGAACTATTTATGCTGGACAAATCATTAAAAGTAAAAAAAAAATTCCCATTGGGTAGGAGGGAAGTCGAGTGATTGCAACCCCTCTCAACCCACACTTGATCTACATCTGACACTTATGGGATTTTTTTATAGGTGTTCTCAGAGCAATATATTAACTGTAACCCGACTGAAGATGAGTCAGCACAAGACAAGATTCTAATCCTGGCATTTGCTATTGTGATGCTCAATACTGACCTGCATAGTCCTAACGTCAAGAAAAGAATGACAGAGGCTGACTTTATACGTAACCTGGAAGGTTGGTAATTCTTTAGGGACCATCCATAATTTTTTGGGTGTCTTCTTATGGACGAGGGGGTAAAGCTATGATTGCAGCACCTTTATTACTCTTGCTAACTCTTGATTAAGTAGTTTCAGAACAGTAAGATTCAAAATGTGTTGCTGTACTTTGCTATATCCTAGCAGTATGGACCTTCATTGGTGTTTATTCTCAATCATCCTATTGTATTTAAATAAAGGTTTTTATACCCTGATTCACAGGTGTTAACAATGGGCAGAATTTCCCTGAGGAGAGCTTAAAATCAATATATAGTCGCATATTAAAGGTGAGTTTAAAACAATATTGTGCAGATATTCCCATAATGGATGGTATGCATTGTTACAGTGCTGCCTCTCACTGCTACGCCTGGGGTCACAGGATTTCAGGATTCTTAAGTTTATATGACGTGTTGTTTTCTCCTTTGCCACAAGGGTTTTCTTCTGGTTTCTCCAAGGAGGCTTCTTCTTCAGCGACCTCTAATAACTGACCAACTCAGTAAGATCGATTGATTGATTAATATGAAGGAATTTTGTTTCACTCAACAGAGAGAGTTCACTCCAGCAAGAGACCACGTTACCATGACAATAAAACTGGAGAAGAAGATAATTGGCAAGATGCCGTGGACGGTATGGGAATTCTCCAATTAGGAAAAAACCTTACCTTAGGCTACAGGGCCTGGGAGCACAGTTTTGAGCCAGGGGGATGGGGGAAGGGTTGGACTAATCTGGGTGGTCGGGGGAATGCCCCCAATCTCTGAAAATTTTGAAATTCGAGGGTCCTGAAAATGCGCTTCCAAGTGCTGGTGGTTTTGAGGAGCAGCCACATTATTTTATTGAAATAATATCAGGACAACTCAAAGTAAATATTTTTGATAAAAATCTAGGGGTGCTATCCCCTGGACCCCCTACAACCTTTTCAATCCCAAGGAGGATTAAAATCATGTTGAAATGTTTTCTCATTTCAGACCACTTGTCATTCTATTGACAATAAGATCCCTTGTTTGAGTTGCATCCAATATTCATGTATGTTCTCATTAGCAGCCATTAAACACATAAACGATACTCTAGGGAATGACACATGGTCTGAAAACATTTCACCCAAGATAAAGAGATCTATCACTGATAATATTTGTGTTTTGCAGACACTTGCTGCCATTCATCGCTACCTTAGGATGTCTACATCGATATTTGAAGTACCCGATGCACACAAAAAGGACAAGAAACATGAAAGAGTAATATTCCTGTTCAATGATCTACTTGTTGTAAGTGACTGTTAATTTCTGCTTATAATAAATTATTTACCCTGCGAGCAGAGTCTCCTTTTACCTCCGATCCTCCAAGTGCGAGAGAAAGATAAGAGGCTCTGCTGAAACACTGTAGATGGTACATGTAGGCTGTCAGTGGTGTTTGGGTAGATATGGGTAGATTCACCACAGGTTGTCTATAGGATATCAGTAAGTTAATGGTGTGCTGTCGGCAGAAAACCTACCAACACCAATTTTGAGGTTGTATTCTTTACTATAAACCTTTCAAATACTTGTATATTTCTTAATGCAGTTCCCTATTGTAAATCACTAATGTGACATAGGTTTACTGTCGAAAGAAAGAAATATTATTATTATTATTATGATTTTATAGGTTACGAAGGAGAGAGGTAAACCAGGACAGAGAGAAGGATTTCATTTCTACAGCTACAAGTATTCTTTTCCTCTTGGTGGAGTGAAAATATCCCTTTTCAATAATGATTGTAAGTAAATCAAACAATCAAATTCTCAGCAGTGTTATATTATGTTATAATATGTTATCTGATAAAATTCCCTTTGTCAGACTATCAGTATGGCATTCAGCTCTACTCAAGAATCGAAGGCAAGGTTTGTGTTTATTGATTCAGAAATGGGTTTGACTGAAGAACATTTGAATTTAGGCTCAAACTTCACTATCATTTGGTTTACAGGTCTTAGCAACATTTAATGCTTCTGATGAACGATCAAGGAAAGTGGTAGTAGATGAAATGATGGAATGTATAGATGAGGTGAGTTAGATCGAATGAGTCGGGTATCTTCTTAAAATAGCTTATTACAGATTCATAAATAATTATCATTATAGCAGGAAAGAGCATTTTGAAGGAAATAAGCCCGATTTCTACCAATGATTTTTGGAAATTTATATATTTGCAAGTTTTGAACTTACGTACTTCCTTCAAATTTCACAGTTTTACCAATTTTAACATGCCCTTTCCAGCTATGGAGATTATTCTTCTGGGCCCGGTTATACGAAGCCTGGATAGCACTATCCAGCGCATAAATCTTATCCTTTGGATAAATTCATTGGATAACAGCATCACTTTATCCACTGGATAAGGGTTTATCCGCCGGATAGCACTATCCAGGCTTCATACAACCAGGACCTGTACTTTGAAATTTAGAGACCTTTGGAATTTGTATTTGGAAATGAACAAGTTTCATATGTTTCTTATGTCAGTAGCTAAATTATGACTTATACGTTTTTTTCCTTATTATCCAGACCAATGCTATGGAGTCTGACAGGATAGGTATGCTATACTAGGCTTAATGTTTAATTATGAAAAGGTAAATTATACACCGTGAAAAGATGAAAAAACTTACTGACCTTTCGGACGCTAGTCCTTCTTTTACTCCGACGAAGGACTAGCGTCTGAAACGTCAGTAAGTTTTTTCATCTTTTCACGGTGTATAATTTACCTTTTCATCATTACTGTTTCATTAGAAACAGTAGTTTTTAGCTAGTTATATCTTCTTAATGTTTAATTCATATTTGTGAATATTGAATGGTTAGAACTGTGGTGAAATAATGATAGATGTGTTGATCATCACAGTGAATGAGCGATCTAAGCGAACGCTGTAAAGAAAGACTTGAAAAAAACACATCTATCATTAATTCATATTTGAAGATTGCAATGCTTTTGGTCACTGTTCATTAGGTGCCAAAGTTTATAGTTAATTTATTTTGTGTGTCATGAGCATAGTATACAAGAGGCTAGGTACATAACCCTGACATGAGTGAAAAACGTCTGCGCATGCTCTGAATCCGTATGCAAATTAGTCAAAACATAAGTAAATTTGACTTTCAAACATGCCTGATAAATTTGAATTCACAAAATGCCAAAACTTAGTGTCCATGCTTGCAACTTAAGGCTAATTCTTTCATATTGTGTTTGTTAATACAGTATCTTGGTCTGACAACAGTATACTCTCGAAATTTTTTGTATACTTGGAGAAAACAAACATTTATTCTCTCACTCAAACTCTTCAAAATTCTTAGAAAACGTGCTGAAATGCACGCATGCGCAAACGTTTTTCTCTAGTGTCCATAACTGTGCCTTCCATGGCATGTGATGTATGGTAATAGGGGACAAGCACCCAGCCGTCCCAGCTGAGTTGACCTTCAGGACAAACTCATAGTCAATCAATAGGAATTAAGGATTCAACATCATATTTTGATTTTAGCATTTCTCATGATTCTGCCAAGAAAACCCATGAAATGAGTTCTTCATTCTTTAAATTGATCGCACATACTACTAATCAAACTCATGGTGGAATTCTGGTTCATTCAACACGAGAAATTTTTACATTGTACTCAGCACCTGCTAGCGCTACTCAGACCCATAATCCCTTTTGGGGAACGCAGTCAACTCAGCTGTCTAGTTTTCACACATGTATTATCTTTGTGTAACCATAGCAACAGAGAAACAAAAACAAGCAGCCAAAAGAATGGAGCGTAACCTAGGCAACATGACCCTGCCACACCCCAAGAAAAGTCGAGGAAAAACAAAGCCATCTTGTGATGCCATCAGTTTACTTGACGTCTCAGTCAATGCTAACTCACTAAGTACTGGGGACCTTGCTTCAACGAAACAGCTCTCCAGCTCCTTGTTAAACATCAGTGATGGAGGTAATGAAAGATGTTAAATATTACAAAATATAATCCTGGACTGAGAGTGAATTGTCAGCTTAATATGTCTTTATTCTGTTTCTCCCACCAGATATCTCATTTTCATCAGAGCCTGAAGGATTCAAGAGATGCAACAGTTCATCGTCTTTAGACAGTGCATTTGTGGATGGGGTAAGGTTTTAGTATGCTTATTCATAATAGAATGTTTGACCCATATTTTTTATCGAGTATGTCTCTGTAATATGAAATAAGCTGTAGAGCTGCCTAGCACAAGTTCAAAAAGCAGCAGAAATGCTCAGCTGCATGTGCTTCATGTACCTAAGTACAGTTCTCAGCACATATACACCTATTTCAGAAATCGTTGTTGCACCAAAAGCCTCGAGCAACAAGCCAAGACCGCAGAGAACGCTGGTACTTTTAGCTGTAATTAGTTTATTCATGGTGCATTTTCATTTATTGACTTCACAAATTGCTCCAAGCAAGGCTGCTTGAGATGATAATTAATGTAGAGCTATAGCCACTTGCATGAACCATGAATAAATCAATTATAATTAAAAGTATCGACGTTCTCTGGAGCCTTGGCTTGTTACTTGAGGCTCTTGGTGCGACAACGATTTTCGAAATAGGTATATATCACAGTACAGAGATGCATGCAGGCAATTTTTGATGTTACTTTCAAAAGAAATGTAAAAACCTTTTAAAATATGCTCAATTTAAAAGGTCTGTTTTTATGGCTTTGCAATTTTAACAAAAAATTTTGAAAAGTTTTTTAAACATTACTTTTTATTATTGATTGATTGAATGAAATAAAAGCGAAATAATTAAGCCTTTTTAATTCGTGGCTGTTTTAGACAATAATTACATTTAAAAATAATTGTATAAAATAGGAAGATTTTTTAAATTCTTAATATAATAATACTAATTATCTGCTAATCATTAAGTTATTTTCTGTTTTGTCCCACTGAACCATTACAGCTAACTGCTTGCACACTAATAAGTCATTAAATTTATATCTTTACTGACTTGTACCTCATTTTTAATCTTAATGAATGGACCTTTTTGAGTCAAACAATTGCTGAGCACTGTGAGATGGCATTGTCCAAGGAAAATACTCTTTCAAAACAACATTGATAACAGCAGCAACTAACAGCATCAACAACAACACCAACAACAACACCTACAACAACACCTACAACTCCAACTTGTAACAACACCAACTTGTAACGACACCAACTTGTAACGACACCAACTTGTAACGACACCAACTTGTAACGACACCAACAACAACACCAACAACAGCAACACCAACGAAAAGAAAACTAACAACAAGAACACTCACAACAACGAGAGCATGCACTAACAACAATTATAAAATAACTAAGATATAACGCGCGCTCTGATTGGTCAATTACCATTTTATATATAACTCAACATAGATCTTGAGGAAATGACGTCAGCAACGCAAGCGATGTTTTGTTTCTTATGTTTTTTATTATTTCTTTTGAGTTAATCGTTAGTTATATCTTAGTTATTTTGTGAAAGAGATAGAAAACTCCCCTTGCTTGTGCTATGTTGAGTTATACAAGCACGCGGGAAATTGCGTGAGCCCTCGAGAAGTGCCGAGAAGCACTCTTATACGGCTCGTGCTTTAGACTCTTCCACAGTCTCTCGCTCGTCCGTTCCGTCTCCACGCCTAGAGACTGTAACGGTACAATGACCGAAAGGACTTATGGGTCCCGAAAACTTGGACCCAGCGTGCTTTGGGAGCCAAAATACTCGTCCACAGTCTCTCTCGTTTCAATATTTTCAAGATGGCGGCGAAAACGAGAGAGACTGTGGACGAGTGTTTTGGCTCCCAAAGCACGCTGGGTCCAAGTTTTTGGGACCCATAAGTCCTTTCGGTCATTGTACCGTTACAGTCTCTAAGCGTGGAGACGGAACGGACGAGCGAGAGACTGTGGAAGAGTCTACTCGTGCTTCTCCTAGCACTTCTTTCGGACTTACGCAATTTCCCGCGTGCTTGTATAACTCAACATAGCACAAGCAAGGGAAGTTTTCTATCTCTTCACAAGAACACCAACAACAACAAGAACACGCACAACAACAACAACAAGTCCTAACAACACCAACAACACCTCTAGCAGCAGCAACAACAACACCATCTAAAAACAAACTCCCTAGCAGGCAGACCCGTAGACATTGCACACAGCAGTACATTTGAAACTCAAAAAGGTCTTTTACTCATCTAATCCTAACCCTAACGCTTAGATCGAAAGAGACTTGGATTCAAACAAATCCAATGGCAAACACAAGCCAACAAAGAAGAACTCAAAAGACCATTCAGACMAAAGACACAAGAAACAGCGATCCAGACTTTTCAAAGGTCAATGTGAGTTGATTCTAGACAGCTAACCAAGTCAATTTATAACAGGTTATGATCGTGAGGAGCTAACAGTTTTAGTAGGGTAAATAATTATTTATTTAGAAGCAGGCATAGCTCAGTTGGTTCGTGCACAGAGTTAGAGGTCTAAGGTTCGATCCTCAGGATCTCCACGGCTGTTTCTACTTTTCTAATCCATGTAGCTTCAGCTTACTCTTAAAACAGAGTGCTGATTGAGAGAGTAAAGTATGTACAGTGGGAATCCAGTAATAGCAGTTGAATTTCAACTGAAGGAACTACCAACGTTTTGAATTATAGGTACTTTACTTTCACCTCTAACTGCAAGGAGTCTGGTAGTTTTTACTTGTTTTCTTTGAGAAAAGAAAGGATAACCTTCTCAATCAAAAGACCTTTAGGGTCACTTAGCTTGACTAGCATAGAACCAAGCAGAACCCACCATCAATGCATGAGCTAGGATTCAAAAGTTTTGGGTTCTAGCGCATTTTAATGGAGAAGAGAGAGAAATGCATATTTTTTTTAGACTTTTGAATCACTTACATCGAACAGATCTGACAAACAATGCATGAGCAAAGAGTCAAGAGTTCTGGTTCTTGTGTATTTTAATCGAGAATAGAGAAAATTACACATATTTTAGACTAGTTTTGAATCACTTACATCAACCACATCTGACCAACAATACATACTTACAAGTAGTRCATAGACATTTTTTACAAACAGGCCAAGGTGTATTGTGTGACGTGACATACATTTGTCATGTCATGCAATGGTGTGACACAATGCTGTCACATCACGCCCTCTTTTAGTTTTGTGTCTGTAATATTTTTTAATGCATTTTATTTTTTAAATAGTAAGCATACTTCTCTTACAATTAATTTGTAACATCTAACAAACACTATTTTYATTATTTGTAAGTAATGTATGTACCGTCTGTATGGCTTGTATGATAGTGAAAAAAAACTCAAATTTTATTGATACACTGATCAATCTCTGAGCTGATCTAAGTCAGAACACGACTGAAACAACCTCTAGGCTGATCTAAGTCAGGACATGAATGAAACAACCTCTAGGCTGATCTAAGTCAGGACATGACTGAAACAACCTCTAGGCTGATCTAAGTCAGGACATGACTGAAACAACCTCTAGGCTG